CTGAGGGCTATCGACAACAATAATGATCCTACCCCTTACCAACAAAGCCTTGATAATCTGTGCCAGAATGGACTGGTTTTCCTTACAAAGCACATTTCTTCCCAAATTGATTTCACATGTCGTTTAAGATCACCTCATTTGCACATAATCGCCAAACTCTTATTACAAAAGTTATCCCCTTCCTAGCAAGATCTTGTGGCGAGAGTTTTTACCACTACACTACACTACAAAAAATAATACAAATTCAAAAACAATCCCCTTCTGTGCATGGGTGTCGGCGCAAGCATTTCAATGCACGGAGCTAAACATCTTATCCCGGGAAACCGATATATCATGCGGTGTGTGGCTGTCTCAGGTGCACAGGAAAACGGACACCCGGAGAATCCCACTTGCCAAGACGTCGACCTGTCTGCCGCTCATGGCTCTTATTCTAGATTAAAAAGCTTACTCGTTTTTTCTTGAAGTGACAAAGTATGAGCTTGAGAAACACAAGTTCAACAAGTCGGGATTGAATACGCTACTATCGGAAAATGTGTAGAAAATGTATTTTTATGGCTTTGAAAATAAGACGTTCTCGCGGTTAAGACTGCTTTTCCCTGATTTTCTTAATTCGTTTATGTAAACTACAAACGGCTGAATCTCCAACAGACGAACAAAACCACTGAAACTGTTCACGATCTACACAACGACTTGTCTTTACCGCAATGTGGAAAGTGATCAGCGGCAAGGCATAACCACGAACCCTCACCACGCGCACGAATGCATACATGCACGCACAAACGAGCGCGCACGCACACTAAGGCTCCTCGTGTCTCACACTCACAATCTCAACCCCTCTCTCCCTCTGTCTCTAGGCAACTCCCTGATACCTTACGCTGCTGTAGCCATGCATGTGTTGCCTAGTACGAGTGTCTCTAGCGTCACTATCTCCATTTAAGAGATAGTGACGCATCACTGCCTTTGCTAACGTATTCAACACTGCATAACATAGGATCAGCACTCGCCCAATCACATAAAGTTAAAAAATCAATTCCAGAAACATACCCCTTCTTACATAAACCACCCAATAGCGAGACAAAGATGGTAGTATGACTCACTTGTAAGAACACCAATAAGGTTCGGGGTGTGTAGGGCGAGGGGGAGAAGGGGGGAGGCGACCTCTACCCAGCCCCCCTTCCCCCCGCCCCCCTCCAGCACCCTTTATCCCCTCGACGACTTACGAGCCACGGACGCCATCCGCGGAAAAGCCGCGGGATCCCCTTCTCGGCAAAGCCCTGGCCATCGCCTTTTATAAAGTCATATACACCTTGTAGAGACAGTTTAGAGTGCAATTCGGGTTTTAATGCTTCTCTCTAAGTACGAATAATTCTGATGTGTCGCGATATTTTTTTTATCTCTAAAAAATACTTTTGTGTGTTTACGTTTGTACACCTGTATGCGTGTATAGGCCGAATAAATGGGAGCAACCGGTCTGATACTCTGTCAAGTGTAAGCGGCGTTAGAGTAACAACACAGAGGTGCGACCAGGTTTGGTCATGACCTGTTCTGACGTGCTCGGCTGGTCAAGCAAGGGCAGGCCAGGGCAGGCTAAGCACAAGACGGTGCTGGGAACAGGAGCACTTCTTACCCTAACCTGCCTTGTTTTCTTGGCGTCTGAGGCCTACGAAGAACCACAGACCGGCAGGCAGACACTTACAAAAAAACACACACATTACGTGCATTTATACATCAAAATCATATGTTTGTCGTACACATTCCAAGGGATCGTAAAAAAATAAACAAAACAATAATAAAAAACGGGCATCGGACACGCATTGAAATGGCTAACTGCTCTACGACTTCCATGTTTTCCACACAAAGTTCGCGTTGGACGTGACGGCCAAGCAGAGCAGAGCCCAGGGACCATGCACAGGGAGAGAGATGAGGAGGAGGGGAGAGGAAAGAGGAGATAAGCTTTCGGGTAGAGTGAGAAGAGAAGGGAGAGGAGAGAAGAGGGGCGAGACAGGGGATCCCCCTCATCACTTTGTATAGAACACTCATACCACGTGGTCGATAACTAATTTCCCGCAGGCCATGTCACGAACGTGATTATCGTCGATGGGGCACAAGAGTGGGTGAGGGAATGGAAGGGGGAGGAAGGCAGCAGGGAGGGCCGGAGGAAGGGCAGGAGGTGGAGAGAGGGGGGAGGGTGAAGGGAGGAAAAATATTTGAAACGCACACACACACATACATCCACACACACGCATTTATATATATACACCAGAAACTTGGATAATAGTAGTCTCTCGAACAGAACTCCAAAATGAATATATAAAAACGAATCGTTAATATATAAAACTGTGACAAAGATGCTTGATAGTAATAAAAATAGAAACTATGCTGCACTGCCAAATTGACGTCTTATCCTAGAATGATACGAATGTCTTCATGTAATAAAGGGATCTAAATATAGATACCAGAGCACCTCTGCTGATGGTCTGTGAGAAATGGCGGGATCAGGCATACTGGGGAAGGGGGGGGGCAAAAGAAAAGAAAAGAAAAGAAAAAGAAAGAAAGAGAAGAGAGAGAAGAGAGAGAGAGAGAGAGAGAGAGAGAGAGAGAGAGAGAGAGAGAGAGAGAGAGAGAGAGAGAGAGAGAGAGAGAGAGAGAGAGAGAGACGTAGCAGGAAAGGGAAGTAAAGGCGGGCAACAAATGGAAATATATAATATGATAAGTAAGACATAATAAGAGAAATAAATAAACAATCAAAGGACAAACTGAATCTGAATAAAAATCAAGAAAAAGAGGCAGTAAAGAAGATGACAAAGGGCGGAATACAGAACAGCTATTCCAACAAAATCCCCCTCATCAACGTAAAACCTGCCCTTGCAGAGAGCATAGATTCGACAGCCCAGTGATCCGGCGAGCACGAAGACGACCATTCGTGTGCAAAGGCGACGAGATGCTATCGGAAAATGGCTCGTTTATGAAGCGAAGGAACGGCGGCACCTGAAAGTGAGTCATCCCGGAGGAGCAAGGAGTGGCAGGAGCGCGCTCGCCCGGAGGCTTCCATAGGGGAGGCAAAGGGGTCCTTGTGCGAGGGGCAGCAGGCGTGGCAATCGGGGTGTCGGGACGGCAGAGGTCCTCAAGCAGAGGGTGGGCTGCCTCCGAAGACACGCAATCGCAAACGGCACTGCATGCAAAAGATGAAACAGCCATAGCACTGGCGGAAACAATGAGATGGTTTACTGGTTCCTTCACTACTGAAGCCGATTTCCATGGGCATCTACAACCATGAGGGTATTTTTCCACGAGGCGGGTAGCGCGACAGACAGGGTTTTAAAGGAAGTTAAAGAGAAATCCCCGCAGCCTAAATCTAGAGGCGAACTGTCCGGCGTGGCAATTTCAAAGCTCCTCTTGACGGAGGAGTTCAAGGTGGGCCTTGTAAAAACTCGAGGCGTGAGTGTTGGCGTGTGAAGTTATTAGGGGCTGGTGCTTACATATGTAAAGCAGAGAGGGGGAGTTGTGTAGGATATTACTGCGTGTGGTGGAAGGGGTGAGAGGCATGGGGGAGGGAAGAGGGGTGGCAGCCATGACCTCATGTTCGGGGTCGAGTCTCCGAGCCTACACCGCATCGGGCGCTGATCCAACACTCTCCCTCTCTCCCCCGCACTTCCTCCCTCCCCGACTGCTTGCCTCCGCGTCTGCTTGTGTGCTGTCTAGTACGGTCTGCTGTCCTCTACAATTTAGTCATATACAAGCAAACTAATTCTAGTAGTATGATAACATACCTCTTAGATTTTTATATAATTTCGTCAAATATTTATACACATTCATTTCCTCTAAAACTATAACCTTGCATAGAAGTGACGAAAAACAAAACGGATGAAGAGGAATGAGGGAACAACCGGAAGGCGAGAGGGGGAGCGAGGCAAGGGGAGAGAAAGGAAAAGAGGAAAACAAGGAAGCAGGCACAGTGCCACAACGCTACAGTTTCCATATACTCATGATTCGCGGATATGCATGAGCGACAATGACTTCATAGATGACAGTCGCATAAAAACGGCATGTTTATTACACTTCACACAAAATGAAAGTCGCTTTCCATATCAGGAAATGCACCTGGGTTATCCCTGGTGCCATGATATCAGGGGACACGACAACCTCCTCTAAAAATATGAACTATTATCACCATTCAATAAGATCAAGGTTCAAGCAAACAGATATGCAAACAAGCACACACAAACATCTCTCTTTCTCTTACACATATTTATCAGAATACCGTACAGCAAAGGCAGGAAGCAGCCGAGAGCAGGGCGCGAGCGAGCCGCAGGGGGAAGCGAGAGGCGGGCAGGACTGAGCCTCGGGGATCCGCGCTCCCGAGATGTGTTGTTGGGGAGGGGAGGGGGGGGGGAGATTCTGGAGGCTGCGCATGCCACCGTCGCTCTGAAGTCACTTCTGTGTAACTGTCCCCGTAACGTCAAGTCTTTACTGTCACGTCACTGTCATATCATGTACAGCAGTTAA